TTCCCACGACTTCAGCTGATATTTCTTTTATTGTCTCCTGTACCCTCCTCCACATATTATTTATTAAGCCTATACTATCTATATCTAATTCCCAGCTGCGTTTGTGTATCACACTTTTAAAACGTTTACAGAAAACTTCATAAGAATATAGCAAATGTTAAAATGTTTTTTAATGTTGTAGAGAGCTTTTACGTTTTTGTTTCTGATTCTTCGGTACATTTAAAGATTTTGAGCACTCAGAAAGCTATGAATTATAAACCTATTTTTGAGTTACAAAGAATATGCTTAACAAGATGGACTGCTGAAGTTTTTACATGTATGTCATTAAAAAAAGATCCATGTCTTGTAGTTCTAGTTTTATTTATTTTTTATTTTTTTATTTAGTTTTATTTAATAATTATGTTTTTTAAAAAGGTAATCAAAGAGCTGTGTCAAATGGTTTACTTCATCAAATGGACTTTAATTTCATATTCAATTTGGTTATGTTTTAATATGTGTTGCAAGCAAACATTTAAAGAAGCAAGTCATTATTTACAAAATTTAAATGCGGGCATGGAGAATGTTTATTTTATATCTTCTTTAAAAACTATTTTTCAAAATATGAGATCAGAACACCCAAAAAGTAATGCTTCTTGCTTGGTATAAGTAGTATAACAAAATATTTAATGAAGACATCAGTAAGGGAAACAACATAAAGATATCTAGTCAAAAATCAAAAACCAAAAACAAAATGAAATCAATACCAGAAAAGTTTAAGCAATTTATATTTGCAGAACAAGGTTTAGCATAAAATAATCAAATAACTTCAAAAACTGATTTAAAACTTCATATGTTTTTATCTGTATTAGATAATATAATTAATGAGCTTGAAAAAAGATTTACAGATAATTCCAATATTTTCCTTGGTACCATAATAAAAAAAAAGAAGATAATTCCAATATATTATCCTCTATATCTTATTTACATTCAATAATGAACATTTCCTAAATTATGAACGTTTGAACTGTTTGGAGGCATTAGCCATACCTACATCATAATCTGGATTTTGAAATGTTGAAGTCAAAACTTAAAATTTTTCCCACCACAATTAAAAAAAATATGAAAATCGGCTTTACGCAGAAATTAACAGTTTAATGAATTTAATAATTGATCTTCTTGAAAAATATAACATTTCTTTTAATGAAACACATAAATTAGCTGTCATATCGATTACAATTCCAGCATCAAGCGCAGCGCGTGAGAGAACATTTACGTGTCTTGGAAGATTAATAAAAAGTCTGAGGCACTGGGGCTCAGTCTACTACTGCCGCGGTTTTTGCTGTTGTATTGCAATTTTGTAGCGACGTATATCATGTATTTTGTATGATATTAATTCAAATTTCAAGTTACACTTTTTAAGCGCGGTTACCGAAAAGAACCCAAAAGAAAGAAAAATATATTAAATAAATAAGAAGTTAACATAGTTTTTATTACATATTTGAATTTATACGCTATGCATGCGTAGAATTTAATATGATTTACAATACACGTATACGTTTGTAACGGGACCCGCTTATTGCGAACACCTGTAACGTATTAATGCAGAACGCAATTTGATGATGGAAATCAGTTTTATTTATTTCTATTTAAAAATATAGTTATGTACAACGTTTATGGAGAAGATGATTCTTGGGTCACCGATATTCAGTTGAGGGACTTGAGATCACCGTACGTCCGTACTACACTGTTGGAGAATGAATTGGTATTTGGCAATATAATTAAGGGGTAGTAGTAGGCACCCCGACCAGCCCGGTCAAAAAAGTTGAGTTGGTGCGCAGGGTCGTCCGGAATGGGCACAGGGGCGTCATTTGGGGGGGGGGGACAGGGTGTGCGACGGCACCACTAACTTAAAACATGTTGACGCTTTACCCTCTAATGCGCCGTCATAATTAACTTATACATTATGACTTCATATATAGGTAATACAAATAAAAAATATATATTTTTCAAGTTTTTATATATTTTTGGTTTATTAGGTTTATTGATTACACGTTATTTGCTTTTTTTTCAAATAATAACTGAATGGCTTTAGGTGGTTGCTTTAATATCTTTCATAAGCTTTTAATTCTTTGAATTGTTAGCTATTTGAAAGTTGCATTAGTCGTTATGAGTTTCAATTAGAATCATAAAAGAGAAGGAAACAATATTTACATAGGTTTGCCTAGGTTACCTACATTTATATACATAAATATATTTTTTTTTAATGGCCTGATGAAATGTCAAAATTGGCCTGCCTAAAAAAGTTTGCACACCCAGAAAAAAACGTAAATGACGCCCCTGCCTAGGCAGCCCCACTCGGGGGGGGGGGGGATCGGTTGCCACGAAAAGGGCAATTTCGGGTGTCTGTTGTTCTCCTGGATTCGTCGATGTCCGGTTACGGGCTCGTCTTGCCCACCTGGTGTCCAGTAGAACTGACGAGTGACGAGATGAATTGCACGGCATCCCGTGGATTCGATGATCGCCGTAGTCACAGCGTTATCTGAATTTACGTCGAGTGACCGTAGACCAGTCGATAATCGATTAACCCTGAGTGGTTAAGTAATAGTATCGCCGGACGGCCGACGTTATAGGCAATTTCTGGTTGCCGCGCTCGTGTGGTTCGAGATTATTGGCGTCGGTGGGAGCACTGATAAGCTGATCTGTCACCGCATTGACCGCCCGAGGTAGTCGTACTCGTACTCGTCAATTATTGAGCTCTTGCTTGCTCTACTGATCGATGTCCCAGATTGCAACGATCGTCGTAGCTGGGTCGTCGTTCGTAGTTCCTTTTGGCTTCCTAGATGTTTGTTGATTAGGTCTGGAAGTCTTGAAGGTATTGAAAGTTGAATGTGATATTGGTCGGCCGATGTACCGGTATTTATACCCGTCGGCCGGCCTTTCCGTAGTTTTCATTGGTTTTGGCGACCTCTTACTACGTGTTAGTCCATGGCCACCTGATACCAAGATTTGGTGATTTTGTGCTCCGCACTCTGCCCACCCACTGCGGCTCTGCGTATTCGTCATGTTATGATTGTCTGTGATTGGTTGTTGTGCGTGGTCGCACGGCGGCGATAACGCTGGTTGCCCGCGGCGTTGTCAGCGGCAGCCGAATCAGGAATAGAACAAGGCACCGACGTCGATCGATGGCCAGAACTTGTCAGGATGGGTCCGCGAATAGCGCGCCGTGGCCGGCGTGCCGACCGGATCGGCGCGCACGAGTCGCCGGCACTTGTTGCGGTAGGTCTCGTGTTCTGTGACGGACCGGAGGGCGCCCGCCAGTCGGGCGTCAGCCGAGTCAGGAACAGAACACGGCACCGAAGCCGGGCGGGTCGGCTGCAAGTAAGCCCGTTGCTCATTTATTCATTATCGCTGAAAAACAATAGCCGACGACCGCAGATAATAATAATAACAATAAGATCATACGGTCACACTTTTTCGTTAAGAAAAATATTTTTTCAGTCACCACGCCAGTCCCGCGATAAAAGCTATGCAATAGCTTAACTGTACGAGAAATCTAATGACAAAATGAACGATTAACAATTTTATCTCCCATAAATATAGAAAAGAAAATTGCTAGAGCTCTACACGTGGATGTATTTGCGGAAAGATTATTCATAAAAATAGGAGGATCATTTTATATTAATTTAAGTTTATTATATTAATTCAGTATTATTTAACCAATCGTGTGTATATACCTATACAAATACAATACAATATCATTAAACATTTTGTCGAATTTTGATCAATGTGCAATTGTCGTGATATTACAACATATTATTTGAATTTGTTTATTTGTTTTCATATAGGTGTCAAAAAATAACTGTCAGCAATACTAACACATTTTTATTTTTCAAAAAAATTGTAATAATTAATAATAATAGTAAGTAGGTATTAGGTACTGTATTTGGTATAATTATAATTTATAATGTATCAATGAAGATTTATTAGAGGAAGGGTAAATGATACTTTTGTGGTCTTGTACCCCAGTATAATGCGTAGGGGGCGCATTTGCAAACTCTCCAGGGTCTACTCCAATACTGCATGTAAAGTCTCAGGGGCGTTCCAGACATTTTCGAGGGGGAAGAGGGTTTCTATCTCCAGACCTAGCCTAATCAAACTCCACATATACATTATATTATGGTCAACTTTTATAATTAATTTTTTTTCGGGGGGTTTGAACACCCCCTCCCCTAGGCACGCCCCTGTAAACTCTTCCGGGGCTACAATACTTTAGTACTGCTAAGCCAGGGGACATGGGGCGTTATTCGTATTACGGAGTTGGTGAGATTGAAAAACTTGGTTGAGCATTAAATAGTCAATTTCGTTTTAAATGTTTAAATTACAATTACAGATTAACGATAATACAATTGATCATAAATAGTTAAAATGTTAATCACAATCTCTGCAGTGTAGCAATAACATTTAAAACCAGTGAGGAGAGTTTACACATTTACTTTAGGTAAACATAACATTGACCCAGCTGGAGAGTTTTACTAGTTTTAAAAATCGGGAGAATTTACCACCGCCCATTTTGAGTAAACTCTATGGTAATATTCCGATACCGCGGTTAAGCTGTTCATAAAAACATGTTTACATTCCAAATTCTACTAATCATTCTATATACTTATAAATTTGTGAATTAGTTATTACTTAATTATTATAATTTACTGATTGCATTGTCATAAACTCATAAAGTCAATAGATATTTATACATGATAATAATATATAATTATTGAATTGCTATTATTTATTGTGTAATTACTAACCATGTAAAAAAAAAAAAAATAATAAAATATTATCTAAGTTTATTTTATATACAGTTGCATAGACTTAAAAGTTAAAATGTAGAATAGGTATATCTAATAAGAAAACTTAAAATATAAGGGCGATTACTAATTATGTTTGATTAATAAATATGTGGGTACAATGTACATGATAAACAGTTCGAGTTCGACTTAAAATGATTCTTGGTTCGGTTTCGAAAAAATAATTTGTAGTTCGTTCAAGTTCAATTCTATTTAAAAATTCAGAGTTCGACCCATCACTTATTAAAATAAATAATTTACAAATCGTCGTTGATTGATGGCCCGCAAAATCAGTAAGTAAAAAATTTGGCTACGTTGATAAGGGGCCCGATCGATAGATTTCTTACATGTAAAAAGGTCATTTCGGCGCGATTGATATAAGCCCAAAAAGTCCATAGTAATGAGCTTATAAGATGTGAAGACTATGAAGACGTATTTATATTTTTCCATCGAAAATAAAGGTAATCTGTAATGCTTAATTTGCCAAAAAACTATTTTATCTGTTTAATATAATATGAAAGTAGCTATCCATAAATATATTAGTATTATATTTTGTTAAAATTGTATTTCTGCAGAGCAAACTGGTTTAAACTGTTTGAATGCATCCTTTGAAATTCTGTTAGGATTTATTTTAACGGCATTGATTGTTTCAACAGAAAGCAAAAGCTAAATATTTCATTACTTCTAAATTATCTATGCATTTATTTAGCTGAGTAATTATTAATCTAAAACCAAATAAAAAGTATCTTAATTGAAACTATTCATTTGCTCCGCGATCAGCCTGTTGACAATGGAACCTCATTTATCTGTAAACAGAGTATATGAAGTATAATGTATATTATTATCAGTAAATTGCTTAAAATTTAAGTGGTTTCAAACACGCGTCCCGCGAACACTTTTGATGTGGGCCGCAATAGTTAAAAACATTTTTATATTCATCATTATAATTGAACGATAACAATTGAAGACCTCCCGTGGAGATCGGTGTATGTTACAATATTTTCAAAAACCGTTTTATTACATTAATTGATAAAACTTAGTGTTGACAACCCATTGTGCTACATTATGCATGAATTAACGTACATTAAGAACTCCGAAAATTGATTGCAAGATAGCGTTTATGTATAGAATATAGATGTTACTATGTTAGACTATTTGGAACCGAAGTACCGCGAATTCTACACACAATTATGTAGTCAACAATAAAAACACGCAAATTGAATAATCATATTATTATATATTAATTTTTGTTGTAATTACCTAACCATGTACTAAACATGCACATAACTGACTTCAGTGGTCTATATACAGTTATTTGTCTCCTCTGAACAATTTCATTTTTGTAACATACACCGATCTCCACGGGAGGTCTTCAATTTTTTTCTTATTGTAGATTTTAGTTTTTATTTAAGTATCCATAATTATCAATATAATATTATTTGACATTAAGTGATATTTAATTACCGATAAGATCATTTTCATCATTCGTAGTCTACAAAAATGTTATGCCCGTGAACTTTTGATTTGAGTTTGAGACCACTGGCTTAAAGCATTAAATTATATGACTATTCTATTTTATATTATATTCTCATTTAAAGTATTAGAAAATATTTTATTGCTGATTTATGCTATAACATTGATAAGTGAGATAATGTATTATAAGTGGGTAAATACCCAGCTGTGGCCTGTTCCCAAAATTATTAAACTATAAAAAAAAAACTGTCCGCAGAGATAATCTGCTCTTGCAGACCATAGACAAGAATACCATTATACCAATGCAGACTGACGACCGAACAATAATTGCCCAAGTTCCCCCCCCCCCCATCTTTGGATGTGCTGACCACAGTCTACAGTAACAACCACCCACCAGCCAAAAAATTGATTTTGAGGCCGCCCTGTAGGCTGTAGTCAGTACTTACCGCCTGTTTTCGGCGCCACTGCCGCGGGGACCAGATATTGTATAGATTATTTTTAGTCTAGTTTTAGTTTGTATGTGCTCAGTGTCAGTACACATTTTATTAGTTTAGTGTGTCTATGGACTATAATAACTACCTATATATTAAGAAAACAATTGTATTTTCCAGAATATTTATTACTTGAAAATCGCAAGTCTCAAAAAATTAAAATGTTTACTAATCCAAAATCAGCACCACCAGGTATGAGATTTCAATAAGAAAAAAAAATTTTAATAAAAAAAATATTTAAATCATTTAATAAAATCATTTCGGTTGGTTTTTAAAAATTTAAAATTGTAATTAATCTTATATTATTATCTCTGTTCAATATTTACTTAAGATTACTTAATTAATTGAAGTAAAAAATAATTTTAAGTACATCTTATTTCTTATGATTTTCTTAACAACATTCACCTCAAAACCAATATCTACCAGGATAATCAAAGTCAGCCATATAAAAAACAAAAGCCAGCACAACACAATCAGGGATATTCTGTAGTTAAAATCCAAAATACCCTCCTCCTTATTCACAGTCGGGTTATAGATAATGTGACCATAATTTTTTTTTTCAAGCGGGACACCTGTAAGTTTTAATAGGAAAATCATATAATTTCGAGTAAAATGACAACACTAAAAATAAAGTGAAAAACAGCTATAGTGCGTTTTAATTAAAAAAAAAGAACATTAATTTCAATAATAAAAAATGAAACCGCAGAAGACGTAGATGATATATTAATAGTAGTGATAATTACAATAATAATAATAATTTAACAATAGAGTAAATTATTCAGCTGGTTTTCTATATTTTCGGATCCTCAAAATAACTAAAGAAGGCGGCGGACCAACTAAGATAATCAATTAATAAATACTATTATGTGTAGTCCATTTATTGGCGATTCTCGCAAACGACGCGGTGGCAGCGATAAGCGATAGCTAGCTGCTGCAACTACAATTAGGTACTTTTTGTATCACTTTTATGGACTATGGCTCTTACACTTTTACAGTAAATTTGTACTTGTATATATAGACATATAGTATACGTATCTGCAGTATAGTATAATATGTATGCATATATTGATATATGATTGCTAATGACCGCTAATGATTTTGGTTAAGTTAAATACATACCACAGGTCACCTTTTCTCAAAGCGGGACATTTTTAGATTCCTCGGGGACAGCGGGACACATAGCTCGAAAGCGGGACAGTTCCGCCCAAAGCGGGAAGTATGGTCACGTTAGTTATGGACAAGTTATTCAGCATCAACCCAGTGCACATCAAACATCTTCTCAAGTGGTAGCTGCAGGTAAGTAAAATTTTTATATTTAACTATATTTAACCTTTTTAATGTATTTCCATGCATTTTCTAATAAAACATGTTTTTAAACGCCAGTGGTCGAAGGGGCTCAAAATAAGTGAAGGGATACCTTTCATAAATTATATAGTTCTCATATATAGCTTAGACAATCGTACAACATGTGGTTTGGGGGGGGGGTACGTTAAGCTTCTTATACCACTTAGGTTCTGAGAGGAACGATGAATGTAATTATTTTACTAAAATGTGTGTTTGGTTTTTGTTTTTTGTTTTTTTATTATTAATCTTTTTTTGTGTCTATCTGGTCTATCATCAACTTTCGAGACAATAAAAATGCTTCGATTTTCTTCAACATATCGTTTCTGGTGAGAAAATGAATCTGGTTGGTACTTTGAGAGAATTAAAAGTAAAAAATGTCTAATAATTTTCAAAGGTGACAGGAAAACAAACGAAAAATTAAGAAAAAACTGACACTTTGACAAAAAATTGGTTTTTGGTATAACACAAAAAAAAATACTGTAAATATACATGAGTCACATGACATTTTTAATGAATGCTTATATTCACATCTTCTATACATCATAAGATTATCAAAATATTTTGACTTTTGTTTGAACTATTTACAGGCATATTAAATTTTCGATTATCATTATTTTTTTAGAACTAATGTTGATAAAAAAAAATGTTCGTTTGGCTAGGTCAAAATTGGTCAAAAAAACTTGAAATTGTAATACAAGGCATTCCTAGTAAGTTGTTGTTAGTGGAAATTAAAAAAAGTAAAGCGTAAATCCACAATAATATTTTATGAGCGTTTGAATTTTGAATTTTGACAAAATTCCTAAAAATCACCAAATTAAAATTATTTTGAGTTGGAAATGCATAAAAATGTAATTTTTTTATATCTAAGATTTAAAAATTTAATGCAAGGTTCCCCTTAAGTTATCCTACATTTAGACAAGAAAAAATAGATTCCGGAAAATCAAATTAATTTTTCACGAGCGTTTAAAGTTGGACATTGGATATTTACCCATAAATAAAACAAATTTTCACTCAACGATTTTTTTCTTTTGTTGCTATTCAATAATAATAACTAATATGTAATATAACTAGATACTTGAAATTTTCATCAAATGTTTATTTTATTATTTTCTTTACATTATATCATTTTTCTATACTCATTAAAATGTTTAAAATATTTTGACTTTTTTTGAGCTGTTTACGAAATTTTTCAATTTTCAATGCTTAAGTTTTTTTAATATTTAAATGTCAATAAAAAGTTGCTCGTTGAGTGCAAAAGCTTGAACATGAATACAAGGCTCCTTAAACAAATTATTAACATTAAAAATATTAAATAGGTTAAGTAAACATGTATGTAGCAATATTTAATATTAAGTCTTAGTCAGTAAGTTTTAGCAGATGTTGCAAAACAAAACTAGGTTAAGCAATAAGCGATAATTCATGTCATAGTACTAGACAAATATGGGGTCAGTCGTGGTGGCGATTGTGTGACTCGTTTACCACCAGACACGAGCGTTTATTAAAGATTCTTAGAATATTATTTGTTCGTTTTTTGTGTACGTCTAAGTGATCGGCGTATACGACAATATCATTGAATTCAAATTTAACTCATCTGTTACAATGACTATCTACAGACATCTACTGTACAGCAGAGCATTAACCACTTACCCACTTTTTTCGTGATACAATTTTATATATGTGGTATATAATTTTAGTTTTTAATTTGGTGTCTTATTTTAATTGATCACATACAATTATAAAAGTACCTACATTTAAATATATTTTGAATATAATTACAAATATGAATATAATATACATATATTAATATATTATGCCCTAAGTATTTTTGTACATGCAACTTATAAATAGTATTAGCATGCATCATATATAGTATAATATAATGCCTATACCATTACACAGAAGGTATAAAAAAAATGGAAAAGCTAAACTTTTTTTAAATACAAATTTACTATAATTATAACTTAATTTTTTTTTATTAACTTTTGTAAAATAATATTACATAGAGCTAGGGACTGTATTAATTTATAATAAACATTTTGACTGCGTACTATCAAAAACCTTAAAAAATGCACACATGACGCATGCAATAAACATCTTTAGTGTGGGCTCTATTAGAATGCAAAAAAGCTTAAAATAGGTATGCTCTTAACCTTGCCTTTCAACAAAATAAACTTTTAAATTATACATCCATATTATTGTGTTTATTATTTAAAAATTACCTATATTCGTATGGCAACAATAACACAATAACAGTTTTAAAACAAATGTTTTAGTAAAATTAATAACAATACATTATATTATAGTGTGTAGTCAATCTAAATACTATGTCCTAGGCCCAAATCCATTCAAATGCTTTCTCAGTAACTTAATTATTTCCATTGATGATCAACTTGAACCTTTAATTCGGGTATTCGTCTGTAATGTACCTCATAGTTTGACTGTCATTTCCGATTTCCACAATCACATTCTGGACTGTTCTTTAGTTTCCAGTTGTGCATCATATCCATATGCTCACATAATCATTCATTAAACTGCTGCTCAAATGAACAATACATTCTGTGACTAAAATGTTTTAAATATTTTCAGAGGTTAATGAGGATTGAGTGTGGGTTATTAGTATCAATACATTTTGTGATAAATTATAAAATAATATTTAATCATTTTACTCGATTTTGGGTGATATGTGAAAAATGCACTTCAAATACAAATTTCACAAAGTATGCACTTTTTTGTAAAATATGCAAAATATGCGAAATAAAAAATATTGCCTTAAATTTCAAGTATTATAAAACAAATTTATTTATAACCTAGCTATATTTATCAACAGTATGTGTATATAATTATAAGGAGGTTGCATTATTTCCGACAAAATAAGTGGAGAGATGGAAAATGTAAATTATATAAGATGGACGGATTATGCCATCCCACCGTATCCCCCCACTTTAACTACCGGTAATCGCAATATAAACAAATTATTCATTATTTTTAAATTGTAATCTCATTAAATTGATAGATGGTTGGATGCCTATTCCTCAAGCTATACCTCGAAACTGTCCAGATGGACTCCAGTATCTTTCAACAATTGATGAATTACTAATTAAACAGCAAGTGGGAATTATAGAAGGTAAAAAGTAAAATAAATCTATTAGCACCTACTATGTAAGTCTTTGAATTTAGTACAATATATATAAACTGTTGGTTTTAAATAATTAACGTTTTTAAGTGAATTATGAGCATTTTCAAAAATTAATACTTTACATACTCATAACTCACTTAAAAAATTAAAATATCGTAAAAAACCAACTAGAGAACACAGATAATGTTCTTACTTGAAAGCTTGATAAATATAAAACTCACTCTAATATCAAAAGTAACAGCATACTGTCACACTATTGGAACTAGTGAATGAAATTTTGCTGTATGTCGTACCTCTGTGTATAAGACGGGGAAAACACATGCGAGTACGGCGTCCTCTATAAGTATTATAAATGTTTTATAGACATCGATTGTATACCAAATATCATTGACATACATGTAAATATATTAAATATATATAGAGTTAAAAAGTTTTATATAATCTACGATAGAGTGATATAACTCGTTCTATACTCTGATAACTATAATTAGATTTTAAATGTTCTATTAATTATTGATAATATTTTTTTGACCTCTTAAATTTCAATCAGAAGATTTAAATAATTGTTAGCTTAATGTATTTGTACGTATAATGCAATATTGTAACAGAGGAAAAATTCCAATATTTTAAAAATGTATTAATCAAAATAAATAGTAACTTTTTCATAAGAAAACACGAAAAGGTATAATTTAACAAAGTTAAACAAAATTGTTAACATATAAAATTAGTTAACTTGAATATGAACTGCTACAAAATGGTAAGAACATTGATCCAAAAAACTTTTTTCTGGTAATATTCGTTTAAATAATATCATATACAGTCTAGAAATTGATTTGTTTTTTCCGAATCAGTGAAAAAAAAATATCCCAACGGAAATATGTTGGTTATAACTGGAATACAATTATCCTCATGCCCTCACTGGGATAATAAACCATGTCAATGATAAGATGCAAATATCTTGGTGCGTTTTTTTTTACATAGTTTGGTCGAACATATTTATAGTTTAAGTATCTACTTTTCTTTAATATGATATTGTATTTTCATTTTTCATAAAATTAATACATTACAGTCAAATCTACATAATGTATGAACATTTTGCTTTTTTATTTTATACTAATTATGATTGTTTATAATATGTTACTATAGCCTTAATAGGGTTTGAGACCAATAACAAGTATGTAATTAAAAATAATGCTGGTGAAAAAGTCTTTTATGCTGTGGAAGATAATGATTGTTGTACACGAAATTGCTGGGGGTCAATGCGACCATTTGAAATGAAAATCTTGGATAGCTATAAAAATGAAGTTATTCATTTATCAAGGCCTTTAGCATGTCAAATTTGCCTTTTTCCTTGTTGCTTACAGGTATAATGATATGTTATATTAAAAATAATTTCTGGTATCACTTAGTTACAAATTAGGTTCCACACAGAGATAACAAAATTAAAATAAAACACTACTCATATTTTGAAAAAATGTAAATAGTCCCTTTTGTGATAGAAAAGTCGAGTTTTTGTTTTGTTTTATTTTTGTTTACCATTTTAGTATAGGTAGAAGGTAGAGGTTTAGAATTAAGAGTTAAAAAAATCCCAGATGGAATAAAAGCAAAAAGTGTATAATTTGAAAATAAATAGGCTGAATAGTTCATACGTAATAATAATAATGGTCCAAACACAGTCTTATCTAAAAAAATTGTCCAAACTTCTTAAGGTTAAGGTTACTTTATTTATGCACTTAATTCCAAAGTGAATTCAAGAATTAATTCCAATTTATTTCTTTTAAATAATTTATGGTCCTGGTAGAAAATTAGATCTTGTTGGTTTTTAAAGCGGTTGGAGGGGAGTAAAAGTAAAAAAAACCATAACACTTTTATGTAATAATTAAGATAACCAAAAAGAAACAAAATATTCAAAGAAACTGGTACTATTATTCGATTTTGTTTTTGAAATGAAACTTTTTTAGGCGCGTTAGAGTAAAATGGATTTACGGGCTTGGCCTACACAACTGGGTCCAATCAGATGATCGGATTTTGCCGGCCAGACGCAGTGTTCCTTCTATAGTTCAGTAAATATGCCGGAGCTAGCGAACTGGCCGACCGGCGGAAAACTGCACTGTCCACGAACTAAATCTATAACTAAAATATATTTTATTAAAACCGGGCAGTAAAATCATAGACCATATACTACTAGCCACTAGTCAAGAACTGTGTACAACAACAGTATTACGAGCGGCGTGACAACATCTCTCAATGATGTAGCCTGTTTTTTTACCACAATACCTATGCATGCAATATATTATATCTTACCCTACTTCCCCGCACTATGCCCTGCTTACGAGTTACGAGTAATCGAGTAATCAAAAAGCGCCCTCTATGTTGTTACGCTTTCCAATTTCCATAGTAGGATGAGGCTATGGGCAAAACCCGGTCGTCTGTTTGGATCCTAATGTTTCTATGGTAATAAATAATAATAAATTTGTCTTATCAGCAATCAGCTTATCTTTGTATAATATTTATAAATTAATTTCCTTTACAAACTTAATATTTGGCCTTGATGAACCTTCTTTTCATACATTCTGTAAAGAAGTTTCACTTCATTTGCTCTTGCTATTGCAACAAGTAAGATTTTTTTTTGTAATTCAAAAATGAATATCCATAAAGACTTGTTTTTTTTTGAATAAATATTATAATTATGTAATGACTATAATAATTTTATAAAATTTTTAATTTATTTAAAATTGTGTAACAGAGAATTGAAGTATTTTCACCACCTGGGTGTTTGATAGGAATCGTTGAACAAGATTGGTCAATTTTAAAACCAATATTCACCATTCGTAATGCAGCTAATGAAGAAGTATTCAAAATGAAAGGACCAATATGTGAATATAGTTGCTGTGGAGAAGATATTGAATATAAAGTAATTTTTAACATTTTTAATCAGACTAGCTAAATATTTTGTATATGTAGTCTAACATAAATAAAAAAATTTAATATTTTAATCACATATAATAATACTGTTTTTCAGATATTATCTAAAGACAAAACCGCTGTAGTTGGCCGCATATCCAAAAAATGGTCTGGGCTCTTAAGAGAAGTATTTACTGATGCCGATTTTTTTGGTATTAATTTTCCTATGGATCTTGATGTCCGTATGAAAGCTGTTTTGCTAGGAGCTTGTTTTTTGATAGTAAGTTAAATATGAATTAATATCTTGGGATTTCCTTTAATAATTGATTAATACTTAATGTTTTTAGGATCTCATGTTCTTTGAAAAATGAGAAAATGCATAAGATGATGGAATTGGACTTTGTTAACTTGTTATCTTCTATCACATAATGTATGAGCATAATTTTATTGTAAGGATTTTTTCCAACTGCACAAATAAAATAAAATAAATATGTTATAGTGATAAGTGGGGAGGCTTCACCTTACACTCATCACACTGAATAGTCAATTTTAAATTTTAAACCATACTGGGGCCGTTCCAGAGACACGGTTGGACTTAGTCAACGTTTTTAGAAAATTGTCGATATTATTGTTTTATAATTATGAGACCTTATTAAGTAGTAGGTACCTACCCAAACAAAAGAATATTCAAATCTGGGCGAGCCTGTTGTCAATATATATTTTTAACATGTTCAACGCCGATGACTACGCGAGTAATTATCAGTCGATGTCGGGCGCGATTTCACACAACAAAATAATACATTATATTATTTTAAATACTTACTTTTAGCAAAGTACATTTTGTTGTAGTTCTCAAGTGCACATATTCGTTAATCGTTAAGTAACTGCACACTTTATATTTCCTAATGCACAATATTAGTGTCCTACTGCACCTATTACAATGAAGCATGGAATAATATTTAATTTTATAATCACAACTGAAATTACACAGTTATGTGTGATACTATTTTCTTCTTTTTTTTTTAAATAATTAAATTTAAAAATTTTGAATCTAGCATTTTTACATACAATTTTTTTTTTCAAATATTTATTACTCATCCAGTTTTTGATTTTTATACATAAACATAATAATTCACAAAAATAATAATCTTATATACTTGTAAAAAAACATGATTCGAATAAATTATTAATTCAAGAAAAAATGATGGTATTTACTATGCTCGATAAATTACTGTTGTATAGTGTATTGCTGCAATTGCGTGTGTGTACTTACCTATTAAATGATTTATTGAGAACACTTTAGTAGATTAAAACTAGAATTTATTTAGAAAAACTAGTCTGTTCAGTTTCAGTATGGTACTAAAGAGTGAAGGGTGTTCTGTGTTTTTAAGAATGTGATTTTACTGTTGTATTCTTCAAACCATTATATTTCCACACAATCAAGGCTTTAAAAAAAAAGTTTGTTGCGATCGAGAAACTGTACAAGAACTTGCTCAAACTACTTTAATATAATAATATTATGTAAACATTGTAAACTGTTTGTATTGATAAACGGGAGTTGTATAAATCATGGGTAGGTACTGGGTAGGTACACTATAGTCTAAATTCGTGTTTTTATACACAATAGGTAGTCACTATATAGGTATCTACTTATACAGCAATATCGGTGATCACTAAAGCTAGTATGCCTTGTTCAGTGTAAACGTGTTCTCAGTTTCTTATACAACACCATTCGATCCTGGTGGTTCGAATTTTAACATAATTTAACAATGGCAGAATAAGAACATTTTGATACAAAAAATAAATATGTAATAAGTTACCTATTATACTTAGTACCTGTACCTATAATAATATTATATTGATTATATAACTAGAGTTAAGAGGAAGCTATACACTGATATTTGTTGTCTCCGTCTTACAAGTGAGTAAAATAGAAAATTGGACGCTCAGCAGATCGCGTTTAGCTCCATTAGTTTAAATATTAAGGTGAATTGACCTCTTATAAAATGTAAAGGTGAGATTATATTATCTAGGGCATCTCATAGGTTATTTATTTCAAAGCTAGTTATATGGGTATTTTAAAATTATAAATTGTTTGTACATCTTAAAACACTCATAACTCTTTTTAAAATAAAAATATAGTAAAAAGTCTATGATCTATATAGTCTATTATTATCTAAATCATCATCTTACCTTTAAGCTTTATAAGAGGTTAATTCACTCTAATTTTCAAACTAACGGAGCTAAACGTGATCTGCTGGGTGCAAAATTTACTATGTTACACATTTGTCAGATAGAGACAACAAATGTCAGTGTAGCGTTCTCTTGATACATTTTCATTATATAATCATACATTTCAAGATCAATTGTAAATATATGCTGTAAAGAAATCATTTTTATCTAAAATATATAATTTTTGTGTATACGATAGGTATACTCCGTATTGTAGGATAATCGAGAGGATGTGATGTAATAAAAGGAGCGGGGGGCTATGTCTTATTTTAGAATCTCTGGACTGGCCCTTCAAAGAATAGTGAAATTACTTATCCCTAGTTGGCTCTAAGCCCACATATGAAAATCAAGTCGACAACGCCACTGTAGCCGACATAACTGTTTAACTACATATGTACGATTTGTGGCTATAATAATACGGTCGTCCGATTCTACGAGATGATTATATAATTAATAACATAATCATAAAAATATTATTTTTACAGCGAACGTCCAGGTTTCGTTTCAAGGACAAGTCGGTGTGCAGGTGACATTGAAACGCGCGTTAAAAAAAACAATTTATGACGTAGGCAAACATATATAATGTAGGTTCCTATACGTACTTGTTTTATTCTAGCTGAATACCAGCTTCGGCCGTGTGCAATTTTTTAACGAAAATAAGATACCTACAATCTATTTAGGTAATTGCATTTATGATATTTACAAGTGATTTTATGTACAGACTATGATATACCTAATATAATATAATATATTTTAATACAAAATATATTAACAGTACGTAGATATTAACAATTTTTTATTTTTATATAAAAAGTACTCTTGCATGATGTACATTTTGAAAGTTGGTACCTATACCGTATAGGTACCAACTTTCAAAATGTACATATGGTCTCATAGGTCAGTATAGGCGTATAGGCTATACGCCTATACTGACCTATGAGACCATAAATATCTATACATAATTTTATATACTAATTGTATCAAAGATAGATTTCTGAATGTAGTACTAGTTAGGCACCTATACTAACCAAAAACGTAAGTCAAAACCTTTTGATATGCGATATACCACATTCAGAGTTTTATTTCGTAGTGCATAATCGTACAATATAAATGGTCAAGTCTTCCCACTTAAGAAAATGTTACATACCGACAATTGTCCATGTGAGACAGTTACCTACTTTCCAAATCTATTCCACAATGCGCTAATATATGACCTTCCTCTTTGTTTGTTGTCATTGCAAAACAAACTTTTATTGGGAATTGAACCCCTCTGAATTAAACTGGAAAATCGTTGGAGTATATAATGATATTTTCGGTTAAAACATTGGCGCTATCTTCTCCCGCACCATGACCAAAAATTGAAAAATAGGGGAGAGGGGACACTCGGGGGAGTATTAGGATTTAGGAATAACTCTGAGAAAAAAAATCATGTTCTTTTAAACAATAATTTAAGGATATTGAATACGTACAAAAAAGGTTACCTTGTGGTTACGTTCATACGAATCTGTGACGTGCGCGAGGTCGTCTCTTGGAGCCGTCTGCATGCGCTCGAGTTTTTTTACCGGTGCGATACCCGTTTATATATAATTTAAATTTTTTTCTAGAATACCTATGGGCGTTAATAAGGTATCTTTTTTATAAGACATTGACTGGCGAAAAAAAGTTACAAATTACAATGCTATAGTATAATCTAATATAGGTAAGGCAAACTTATAGCAATAGCATTGTAATTTTATAACTATTCTTCGTTAGTTGATGTTTCACAAAAACGATAAGTAGGACCTATATGGCATTATCTCAGAAATATTCTCCTCTTAAAGTTAAACAATAGCCAATATGAATTTAAATTGTAAAGTACCTGATGGAATTTGGCTATACTGGCATTTAATTACTCATTAATCATTATGTAGGTTGACAGACAGTATCAACGGATATAACTTGGTCGTATTCACATACTTTTATATAAATGGGCAAATGGCTTGATATTATATTTATCTACTATGTGTAAACAGTTTCGATTTGACTGACGATATGATAGTGAATGATACTATTCTAATATTAGGTTTAGGTATATGTATATAGTTACAAGTTGCATGTTTTAATATACGGTAGAAACTCAAAATCGCTTATAATAATGGCATCAGTTGTAGTAACAAACCGAGTTTAATGACCTAAAATTGAAGGTCAGTACAAAACTGCTATGTGTTTATGACGTATCTTACTGAGAGACTTTTTAGAATTTTTTTGTGGAATGCAAAAAAAAAATTTACAAATCACATTGCTAAATATTATGACATTTTAGAAAATTGTTTTTTTTTTAATAAAATAAAAACAAGTAGGTGCATGATGTAAAATACAAAAAGATAGTTGATATTTTTCCAATTAAAAATGATTAAGAAAAAAAAAAATTCAAAAAATAATATAAGGTGACTAATATTAAAATTTAATGTTGGTACTTCTGTTTGGCTATTTGTAATATTCAATATATTTATTTAGAATTTAATTACATTTTAAAAAATGATCACCTTTTCATAAAAATTGTCCAAACTATTAAAATGTTATTATTTGTGTTAAAAAAGTCTTATCAATTTGAATAACAAATCTGTAAAATATACATAATAATATAATATGCACAAGCACAACCTTGCACCCCTCAAATGGCGCCTCTCCTTCTTGACTGCGTCAGAGTATCAGGCAGTGTCAGTAGATTAACCGTTAATTCAGAGTTTAGATTTTATAGCGTTTAAAATTGTATAAATATGAGCAAAATGTGCCATAATATAATACTACACCCGAATGCGTTGTCTCCATCTTACAAACACTTAACATCGCAAATTAAAATTTAGGTACGTTCTGAATAATTCATTTAATTCTGTTGTGTTTAATTTTTAAAGTGATTTGATCTACTACTAAATTTAGAAGTAAGAATATTATTTGGTACAATATAATATAGTATCTACATATTTTAATTTTAAAGCTAGTAATGAGCATTTTAAAATTGTAAATTATTTGTGCATTTTAAAATGCTCATTACAACCCTGCTTAGGTACTATGAATTATTTATTAATTATTATGACCTATATTACTGGTCCTTGAACGCCATTATAATTATTTTCGTTACTAAATCTTCATTATATTGTACATTAATTAGTTCGGGTACCACGTTCAAGTATATTTTTAATTATGCTTGTCCTCACCTATCGTCCATCCGA